TAGTCACTTCCTGTCTGCAGGTGTTAGTCACTTCCTGTCTGCAGGTGTTAGTCACTTCCTGTCTGCAGGTGTTAGTCACTTCCTGTCTGCAGGTGTTAGTCACTTCCTGTCTGCAGGTGTTAGTCACTTCCTGTCTGCAGGTGTTAGTCACTTCCTGTCTGCAGGTGTTAGTCACTTCCTGTCTGCAGGTGTTAGTCACTTCCTGTCTGCAGGTGTTAGTCACTTCCTGTCTGCAGATGTTAGTCACTTCCTGTCTGCAGATGTTAGTCACTTCCTGTCTGCAGATATTAGTCACTTCCTGTCTGCAGATGCTAGTCACTTCCTGTCTGCAGGTGCTTGTCACTTCCTGTCTGCAGGTGTTTGTCACTTCCTGTCTGCAGGTGTTTGTCACTTCCTGTCTGCAGATGTTAGTCACTTCCTGTCTGCAGATGTTAGTCACTTCCTGTCTGCAGGTGTTTGTCACTCACTCTTGTCTTTTGTTTTGTTTTTTTGACAGGCAGGTTCTGGACACCAGGTACGGCTTGAAGAGATGGCAAATCGGAGAAGTTGCTTCCAAAATTGGACAACTTTATTACCACTATTAGTAAGTACCATCAGTACCATCCAGCTGTTAGTACCATCCAGCTGTTAGTACCATCCAGCTGTGCAAAAGTCTTGAGCCGACCCTCTTGTTTCAACAGGAAGTAGGTCAGACAGTTTGTTTAGATGTGATCAGGAAGAAATATACGTACAGGAAGTGTTCACTGATCTATCAGTCAACCAGTTCAGTTTGCTCCAGGTTCTGTTTGATCCAGGTTCAGTTTGATCCAGGTTCTGTTTGATCCAGGTTCTGTTTGATCCAGGTTCTGTTAGTTTAATTATATTCTTTGTCTCTTCCTCTCGTCAGTCTTCGTACATCAGAGACGAGTTACCTGAACGAAGCGTTTTCCTTTTACTCGGCCATCCGTCAGCGCTCCTACTACTACCAGGTCAACAAGGAGGACAGGTGAGCTGTCACTGAGGACAGGTGAGCTGTCCCTGGGGACAGGTGAGCTGTCCCTGAGGACAGGTGAGGTGTCCCTGGGGACAGGTGAGGTGTCCCTGGGGACAGGTGAGCTGTCCCTGGGGACAGGTGATGTGTCCCTGAGGACAGGTGAGGTGTCCCTGAGGACAGGTGAGGTGTCCCTAAGGACAGGTGAGCTGTCCCTGGGGACAGGTGATGTGTCCCTGGGGACAGGTGATGTGTCCCTTGGGACAGGTGAGGTGTCCCTGAGGACAGGTGAGCTGTCCCTGAGGACAGGTGAGGTGTCCCTGAGGACAGGTGAGCTGTCCCTGGGGACAGGTGAGGTGTCCCTGAGGACAGGTGAGCTGTCCCTGGGGACAGGTGAGCTGTCCCTGGGGACAGGTGAGGTGTCCCTAAGGAC